CCGCCCCGTCCGCCCCCTTCTCCCTGATCTTTCTCCGTGCACCGCCCAAGAGGGGTGTTCTCTTAGGGTACGTCCTCGCCCTCCGAGTCCCAGCTGCAGTGCCTCCTCCCTGGGATGTCTACCTGTCTCCCTCACACACACTCACCCCAGGGGCCCCCTCCTTCTGGGCTCTTCTTTTGCCTGCATTATTGCTCTTAACTCCGACAGCTGTGATTTTCCGTTTATAGGCCCCCTTCCTCCTTCAGACTGGCAGCTCCTGGAGAACAGGACCCATGTCTGAGCCCCCAGAACCCAGCACCGGTGGGTGTGGGTGAACAGGTAGTGAGTAGGAATGACTTCCAGTCTCGTTTACACGGCCAAGTTAAGGTCAGATGCCTAGAGCACAAAATTCAAAAGACTCTTTTGGGGGCCCAGGCCAAGCCCAGAGAGATGTTTGGTCTGAATATCATGGGGTTTCCAGGAAGCCTCTGTGGCCAGCTGACACTTGTGGCCTCAGGCAGATCCTCTGTCCTCTCTGAGCCTCAGTACCCATCTCTGCTGATAGGGATCATGAAAATGCAGTCTCCAAGGTGCTGTGGGAGTGTCAGCAGAGGCCGGCCACCTGGAAGGGCAAATAAGGGTGCCCTGTACTGGCTCTTCAGCCACCTCATGAGCGGAACCTGACCTGTCCTCCTCCAAAGGCTTATGTAGTCCTCACCAACCGGGAGAGCAGGGATCACCCTGGAAGCTGGGTGCCCGGGCCTCCGAAGACAGGACCACCAGTGCTAGGAAGGCCTAAGCTGGAAGCCTGGACTATCATTAGGGACTTCAAAGGGAAGCTAGAGTTCTGGCACCAGAATCCCAGGTCCACCACTCACGGCTGTGTGGCCTTGTGCAGAGGTCTCCCTTCTTAGAGATCAGTTTCCTCATCTGTGAAATGTACTTAGTAAGGGTTATGGGAAATCAATGACATACAGTAGTCCCCCCCAGGATCCCCAGTGGATGTCTGAAACCTCAGATAGCACCGAACCCTATCACAGAGTTGGCCCTCCTTATCCCCTCATTCTGCATCCATGGATTCAACCAACCACAGATCAACAATATTCAGGAAAAGACAAAAAATAATGATACAACAATTTAAAAAATATGAATAAAAAAACTACAGTGTAACAACTGCTTACAAAGCACTTACATTGAATTAGGTATTGTAAGTAATCTAAAGATGACTTAAAGTATGGGGGAGAATGAGGGTAGATTATATGCAAATACTATTTCATTTTACATCAGGGACTTGAGCATCTGAGGATTTTGGTATCCTTGGGGGTCCTGGAACCAATCCCCCACAGATAGCAAGGGAGGACTATACAATGTTTTTCCCTATACATACATATCTATGATAAAATTTAATTTATAAATTAGGAACAGTAAGAGATTAACAATAACTAATAATAAAATAGAACAATTATAGCAATATATTGTCATAAAAGTTACATGAATGTGGTCTCTCTCAAAATATCTTATTGTACTGTACTCACTTATTTTTGGAGCAGGTAACTGAAACTGCAAAACTGAGGATGGGGGGGACTCCTGTACTTCCCTTGAAATGCTCACGGTTTCCTTCCCTCAGTCATGCATCGTCCTGCTTCACAGCCTTGGCGTTGGCCATTCCTCGTGCCTAAGACATTTGTTTTCCTGGTAAACCCAGAGGTCACTCTCTTCCCTCACTTCAAGTCTTTCCCTAAAAGTCACCTCAGAGACACCTTCCCAGACCATTCTTTTAAAAATAGCAGGTGGAGGGGGAGTGGGGTGATTGAGGCGATGTTGGTCAAAGGATACAAAATTATGATTAGATAAGAGGAATAAATTCAAGAGATCTATTGTGCAGCGTGGTGACTATAGTTAATTACGATGTATTCTTGAAAAATGCTAAGCTTGAATAAGTGCTCTCACCACAAAAATGAAACCATGTGAGATAATGCATATGTTAGTTAGCTAGATTTACATTCCAAAATGGATATATACTTACAATATCACAGAGTACACAATAAATACATACAATTTAATCCATCAATTTTTAAAAAATAAATTTGAAAAATGAAATTAAAAATATAAATAGCAGTGTCCCAGAATCCTTTGCTCCTTCACTCTGAATTATTCTCCATAGCATTTACCAACTCCTGACATTAGTTTATTTCTTTGTTTATTGTCACCTCCACTAAATACTAAGCGCCAGGAGAATAGGGTCTTTGCCTGTTTTCACCCCATTCTATTCCCGGAGCTTAGAAAAGGGGCCAATACAAAGGAGGCCCTTGATAAATATTCACTGAATGAAGAACAGAGATAATGAACAAGTACTTACTGAATACTCATTATACAATGACCCTTCAAAACGTTTGTAGAAAATAGAATTAAAAGATAACACAAATCTTTCCATGAACTTTTTGAAGTACCCTCATATACTAGTTAACTAGGTAGACTTCATCCCTACCCTCAAAAAACTCATATTATAGTGGGAAAAAAGGATAAATATGTGATTGCAACTATAGTAAGTGCTACCCAGCAAAGCTACATTGTGTTGTGTGAGCTTCATACAAGGGTGCTGACCTAGTCTTGGGGATAGGGATGGCTTCGCTGCAGAGCTGAGATCAGAAGAAGGAGTGGGTGGCAGCCAGGTGAAGAGGACAAGGAAGAGAAGTTCAGCAGAAGGACTAACATGGGCAAAGGCCCTGAGCTAGAAGGTGGTTGTTGTGAAGGGCTCAATAAGGAATGTAGTAGGAGATGAGGCTGGACTTACCAGCAGGCCAGGTCACTGCAGAGCCTTGTAGGCCAAGGAGTTTGTTTTTGTCCTCAGAGCAGTGAGAAGCCACTGATAATGTGGGTAAAGGGTTAACAAAACCTTTTCATCTTTTGTGTGACAATTTGACCTTTGGTTAACTGTCTAGCTCTGCTTCCTTGGAAACGGATAAACGTATGTCCACTACGTTAATAGGCAACATTGCGTATGATAAAAATGACCCCTGAGGAGGAGGCTAGAATGATCCATGTGGCAATGGGTTAGAACTGGAGATAGTGTGAACTCATGCTTAGCTGAATATAGATGCAGATGATTACATATAGAAATATTTAGAGATACGTATATACATGGGTTAGTACATATACATATATTTCCTTGCTCTTTCAGCTGAGAGGGTCTAGAAGCAACAATACTCCACAGCAACAAACACACCTATCACTGAGGTGTTGGATTCTAATACCATCCTCCAATAATAGGAATAATAATTTCTCTAATTCTTTAAAGAAATGGCTGCTTCTAGGACTGGGGCAGGAAATACACAAGACGAGACTGGAAAATCTTATAGTGCCAGAAAGTAAAGAAATGCCACACACACACACACACACACACACACAATGATGGGGCTATGTCGAAGGACACAGTGGTCAACTGAAAGTGCTCCCAGTGGTGAAAGCTGGAAAAATTTGAGCAAGAAAATAAAGCAATAGTAATTGAAAGTGTGAAATAAATATCTATGGGTCCATACTGATATAAACAGCTGAACAGATAAATTAACAAATTAGGAGAAAAAATAAATCTCCCATGCAGAATTCCAGATATGTAGATACTGTACCTTCAAGAAGGGGGAACACAACTCCCCAGTTAATAAGTGTGGGCCATGCATAGTGACTTCCTTTCAAAGAATGCATTAGGGAAAGGGAAAAAAGAGTAAGTTTATAGTGGAGAAACACGACAATCTGATGACCTCAGCCAGGTGATCAAGGTCAACATTAACTGTCAAATCATGTTGGTAGTCTGTACCTTTTTTTAAAAAATTTTATTTATTTATTTTTTTTTCCTTTTTGTCTTTTTTCGTGACCGGTAACGGGATCGCAACCCTCAGTGTCGCGCCTGCACCACGCTCAGCCAGTGAGCGGACCGGTCTCTATATGGGATCCGAACCCTCGGCGGGAGTACCGCCGTGCTCCCAAGCGCCGCACTCTACCGAGTGCGCCACCGGGCCAGCCCCCTTTTTGTTTTTTAAAGATGACCGGTAAGGGGATCTTAACCCTTGACTTGGTGTTGTCAGCACCACACTCTGCTAAGTGAGCTAACCAGCCATCCCTATATAGGGATCTGAACCCGTGGCCTTGGTGTTATCAGCACCACACTCTCCCAAGTGAGCCAAGGGCCAGCCTTGATAGTCTGTACCTTTGATGTGATGTGATGACAATGGCACTTTACCTCTGTAGTCTTCCACCTCCAAACCCATAACCCCAGTATGAACATCAGAGGAATCCCAGTTGAGGGGCATTCCACAAAATACCTGACCAGTTCTCCTCAAAACTGTCAAGGTCATCAAAAACAAGGAAAAATCTGAGAAACTGTCACAAACAAGAGGAGCATAAGGAGAGATGACTACTAAATGCAATGTGGTAACCTGGATGGGATCCTGGCTCAGAAAGAGGACATTAGGGGGAAACTAAAGAAATCTGAATAAAGTATGGACTTTAGCTATTAATAATGTATCAATATTGGCTCATTAATTATAACAAATGTACCACACTAAGATGTTAATAATGGGGGAAACTGGGTGTGGGGTATATGAGAACTCTCTATACCATCTTCTCAATTTTTCTGTAAATCTAAAACTGATATAAAAAGTGAAGTTGTTGTTTCTAAACACCCCCAATAGGTAAATTGCATCTGGACTGGGAGGAACTATAAATACCTGGTGGGAAATCATACTTAACCATGGTGACTTACATAACTAGGCAGGTCCAAAGATAATGGCTTTTATGGAACATGAAGGTTTTTTTTTTTTTTTTTTGTCTTTTGTCTTTTTTCCGTGTCCGGCAACGGATCGCAACCCTCAGTGTTGCCCCCGTACCGGACCGGGGACCGGCAACGGGACCGCAACCCTCGGCGTTGCTCCCGCGCCTCGCTCAGCCAGTGAGCGGGAACCGGTCTGTATGTGGGATCCGAACCCTCGGGCGGGAGCGCCGCCGCACTTCCCAAGCGGCACACTATCCAGTGCGCCACCGGGCCGGCCCCGGAACATAAAGCTTTTAAGCGAGGCTTGTTCAGCACCTGCCATATGGGGATTTCATCTTGCACCTGAGCAGTACTGTTCTGCTGGACACAGCAAGGACTCCCACCAAAAGGAGTACCTGGTGGCAATGAGTGCCACACTAACAAGCTGAAGTTCCTATCCTATATCTTTCAGAGTAGGTCAAAGCCGAGTGTGGCTTATGGTCATCTGTTGAGTCGAAGTGTGTACTGGAACCTAAGAAGTCTCCCTGTGGACATTGCAGTGGATGATAAGCAGGGGAGTGATGTGATCAGATCTGCATGGTAAAAACATTCTCCCTCTGCTATTCCCAGGTGCAAAGGGTTAAGAGAGAAAACAGACCATGTGGAAGGTTACTGTGGTCATGTTGACACACGGTAAGTCCTCAATCAATTAGCCTTAATTATGTATCTGTGGAGATGTGCAATCTATGAGAGAGATTGGGGACCTCTTGTAGAACATTAGAGCATCACTTAATCCAGAATTTCCAAACGATAGTTATATAACATGATTTTAGGTATTATATAGATTAATATGTGTCTTGATTACCCATTGCTATAAGACAAACCACCCCAAAACTTAACAGTTTTTTTTTTTTTTTTTTTTTTAAAGATGACCGGTAAGGGGATCTTAACCTTTGACTTTGTGTTGTCAGCACCACGTTCACCCAATGAGCTAACCGGCCATCCCTATATGGGATCCGAACCCGGGGCCTTGGTGTTATCAGCACCGCACTCTCCCGAGTGAGTCACGGGCCGGCCCAAAACTTAACAGTTTAAAAGAAAATCATTTATTTACTCATAGTTTTGCAGTTTGGGCTGGTCTCAATTCTCTTCTATATGTTGTCAGCTGGGGTGGCACAAACATCTGGCAGCTGGCTGGAAAAGCTCAGACTTGGTCCTCACTGTTAGCCATGTTTTTCCATTCTCTTCCACAAGGTCTCTCCATGTGGCTAGCTTGGGCTTCCTTACACAATGGTGGCCCCAAGGTAGTCAGAGTTCTTTCATGGCACTCAACTTTCCCCAGAGCACAAAAGAAGAAGTTGCTAAACCTTCTTAAAGCTGAGGCTTGAAATTGGCACAGAATTGCTTCTGCTGCATTCTTTTGCTTAATGCAGGTCACAGGCCAGCCCAGATTCAAGGGGAGGGGTCTACATAAGGGTATGAACACTGGGAGGCATGTATCATTGGGGGCCACCAAAGTAACGATCTCCCATCGTCTATACTATATCTATATCCATACTCACACATATGTATGTGTGTGTGTTTGTTCATTTCAATGGCTAAGTATTTCTTTTCAATTGTTTTAGAAAAATGTGTAACTAGCTCACAAAACCAGAGATATCCTGGATAATATTGTGTAGAGTAAGGGCAGGAAAAAATTTGAGTCCATATGAAGTTGGTGCAATGGAGTCTGCTGGTTTCCTTCAATACTCACTCCCTCTTTCTTCCACTGGAATAGAATCCCTGACCAATAGTTGCACAGTCCAGGGGCTGGCTCATGGCTCACCTGGGAGAGTGTGGTACTGATAACATCAAGGCCACATGTTTGGTTCCCTATATAGGGATGGCCTTTGTAGAGCTAGGGCTCGGTCTGGAGCTCACAGACCCCTCGAGCCCATTGTCCAGACTGGGTCACAAACCCTTCACATTCAGGTCTATGAGCTAGGTAACAGGAAACAGGGTCCTTGGAGCCTTGGTTGAAGAAAGAATAGTAAGCTTTATTCAGCACATACACGTCTAAGAGCTAGCCAGCCCAAAGAGAAACTCCACTGCTACTAGCGAAGTCCAAAAAAAACTGAGCAGCTGCCAGCAAAGTAAACATGCTCTATTTTTTAGACATGAGCTGTCTGCCAGCCAGTAGCTGCTTCACAAACTGAAGAACACACAAGAATAGCAAAAAAACTAAAAAAGATACACAGGCGTGCATGTGCACTAACTCCACCCCCACACAGCTTGTTTACACAGAATGTGTTGCACCACCCCCAACCAGACCTGAGGCGAGGGGTCCTGACTAAACTACTCTATTTTCCTCACATTGGGCATGCATTGCAGGGTCCAGCACACAGAAGCCACAGTACTGGCTTCCCATGGATGATGAATGGATGGCCATTCTGGCTTTCTTATTTGGAGATGACATTTTCCTCATTCAGGAATTTAAGTTCTTTCCCTTTCCAGGCCTCCTGGCTTCACCTCTCCTTATCTCCACGTGCCAAGCCTTTCTGATCCTATGAAGTAAAATGTGCTCTGAGCCAGAATAGTCCTAAGAGTGGGATTAAAAATAAATGAAAGGGCATCAAAACAAGTTAACCACAAGAAATGGCTTCCCAGGGTAATTAGGCATCAGCACTGGAAGCCAAGGACAGAGTGCCAGACTCTAACTGCCAAGTGCTGCTATCAGCACCACTACTGCATCGGGCAGAGAACATACTGGGCCCAGTGTGATCCCTGCCTAGCCCTCCACAACTTCAAGACAACAGGCAAGACCCTCCCCACACAAGTCAGGGAGAACGGGTTCTAATTCCAGCTCTGTCACTTACCTGCTGAAGTGATCCTAGAAAAATTCATGCCTCTCTGAGCCTCAGTTTCTTCATCTGTAAAAAGTTGTTAGTAATAGGATCTATCTGTAATCATCTATAAAATGTATATAATGATGGAACTCACCTGATAGGTAGAGGTTCCCAAACTTTCTCTCACAGCATCCTGAGCATCTCAATGATTTTTTCTATGTGCAAGGCCCAACAAAATACCTAACAGTTGTTTAATAAGTAGTTAGGTTCAAACAGCTCAATAATAGTTGTTTGCACAGTATCTGACAGATGTCGTTGTTTCCCTCAACATTTTAACTATTTCTCAGTGCCTTTGTGACTTTTCTGCAGTGCCTCAGCACATAGTTTGGGAACTGCAGTCATAGGTTTTAAAGATGAAACGAGGTTATTTATGTTAAGGGCTTAGCATGATGCCTGGTCTGGCATAGGAGATCAATAATAAATGTTGGTTATCCTAAATTATACTCCCAGTCTCATTCTGAGATCACCTTCTCTCTAGTTCTTTCCATGTCTTGTTCCACTGCCATGCAGCAATGCTCCCTGCCTCTAGCTCTTCCCACCTCATGGTTTCTGCTTGCCGTCTTCCCTCTGGCCTTCAGGCCTGTGGCCTCCACTTCTGAACTAACTTCCTTCCTGGTGTAGAATTGTCGGTCCCACTTCTTCACCCCTAACTCCACACGCTTGCCCTGATCTCTTTGCAGGTGGAATGTTCATCCTTGCCCCAGAGCTTTGGGCTCGATCAATGGCACATGACAAAGTGAGAATGGTGGATGGTTTCCTTGTGCGTTTTGTCTTTTTGGAGTATGAATTCATCTTCCGGGGAGCTTTATCTGTGCACATTTTGTGTAGCCTGAGTTAAGGGCAAGTCCCTCCAAAATGGGTTGAGTTTGTTTTGTCAGTCACCTCAGATCTTTATCTGGGATCACTACGCTAATTCTTGGTTTGGGTTTCCTAGTTCATGTAGATAGAATAAGTTTTTAAAACCTGTGGGAGAATAGTCCTATTTATTTTCATTATAGCAGTAATTTGATTATCATTTGTATTTATCCACTAAGATATCAGCTCCAGGAAAGCATGGCCTTTGTCTCTCTGGTTTTGGGCTACGTCCCCAGTGTCTACAGCAGAACTTGGAACACAGTAGACATTCAATAAGTGTTTGGTGAAAGAGAGAATTAAAGAATACCCACTTCACAGTGTGATTGGAAGAGTAAATTGTGTGTCAGGCAGGACTGTGTTTGCTGCAAGTAGCGGAGTGAGTGCCCATTTAAAAATGGAGTCTCACCTAACAGACAGATACTGTTGCTGATTCTGTGACTTGGTGGTTTCAAATGTCTCTGCATTTTCTTGGCCTTTGTCTTATGGTTGCAAGATGGTTACTATCACTCTATTCATTACATCCACATTCAAGGCAGAAGAGTGGGGGAGTAGGAGTAAGGGGGAAGCATTGGTGACGTTTTCCTTTTTATTAGAAAGGTAAAAGTTCTTCTCGAAGCAGATTTACAAAGTACAGCAGATTTTTCCTTTGATCTCATTTGCTACAAATGGGTCACATGGGCATCCCAGAAGCAAGAGAACTTGGGAAGTGAGCATTTCCCTTTATATAGACTCTACAGAAAAGTGAGTAAGGGAGAAGGGGATCGGGCATGCTGGTGGGGTATCTGCCCCAAATGATGCACATGCATACTTTATATCTAAAGCACAAAACAAGCCCTCAGTAAGGGGCACCTATTTTCATAATAACCATCATTGTTTTTATTTAAAGCGTTATAGTCTCTGTGATCCTGTTGGTATCACATCTTCTTGGCTTCTGGAACCAGCAGGCACCAAGTTACTCATATCCGTATAATGATCTCTCCCCTCCCTCCTTGTTCTGTTCAAAGTACTGAAGCCCTTTAAAAAAAAAAAACAGTCAAACTACATTTTCCAATGTGAACTACTTCCTGTTCTCATTAACTCCATCTTCAGTGACTTGGCTAGACCCTGCTGCCAGCCTGAAAGAGGTGGGGGACTGTACAAATCAAAGGTCTCTCAGACCCATAACCAGGATAGTGTCAAGGTCTCTCCCAAGGTCACTGAGATGAAAACAGCAGAAGAGCCAGCACCAAATCTTGGGCAGACCCTGGAGTGGCTGAGAAAGGAGCTGGTAAGGCTTTGCGTTTCTTTTTACCTGAGGCCCCAACTCCATATTTTCTAAGGTGCCCTGGTGCCTCCTCGGCTAGGGCAGAGGCTGCAGGCCAGGGCATGGGCCCTGGAGGTACCCCTCTGGGACCAGACACAGCACACAATCGGGATCTCAGGTGCTGGGATAAGTAGGTCATGGCCTACATAGGAGGCTCTGGGTGCGGTGCTCGCCAGACTGGTTTTAGAATTACACTTAGTCCTGGGTATGTGCCCAGCTCTGCTTCTGTGTGGCCTGTAGCTGGCAGCTTTACCTCTTTGGACCTCAGTTTCCTTATCACAAAAGGGGGATAACAATAGTGCCAACATTGTAGGAGCTATTATAAAGACTCAGTGAGGAGAATTTGTTATCTACTAGTGTATGCTTGGCACATCGATACTGGCTGTTAGAATGGTGACCCAGGTGGACACGGAGTATACCCACTGTCTTAGCCTGGGTCCTCTAGTAAGCCAAGACTCAGACAAGGATTGAGGAGCTAACAATTTCTTTGGAGGTACAAGTGCAGAGTGCTCTGCCAGGAATGCACTATGTTACTGAACTGTCTACTGCCTCAAAGGAGCTTGGAGGAGACAGAACAAAGAGGAAATTTATCTGCCCAGCTCAGTCCTGTCTCTCCTTTCTGGTTGGTAAAGACCCACCCCATGGGGTACGAACTCTCCTGAATATATGTGTTATGTTGCTTGGTCCCCTGGTGACTACTCGGGAAGCCAGGCCTTATGCCTTTCATTGTGGTTTCTCAAAGTCCAAAAATAGAGGGGTGCCCAAAGTGTGTGGGGACACCAGCCAAGAGAGAAAAGGAGGCAGTTCAGGAAACCTCAGAAGAGGTTTGTATCCCGATACGCCTGCTTCTCATTCTGGGGAGGGACAGACAGGCTTGTCCAAAAATGACTTTTCTGGGTTGCAAAGCAACAGGTGAGCTGGGACTCAACCCTGTCTTCACCCCAAAGGGAGTTGCTGACCTAGCAGGGCTTCTCATAGGACCAGGGGCTTCTAGCAGCGGAGGCTACACCTTCTTACAGTGCTCGGATATCCAGAGCTGGGCAGCTGGTCTTCCTCATGCTCCCTAGACAATGGGTGCCCAAGCTAAGACTGCTTGGTGCCTGCCTTCGTCTGTTTTCTGTTGCTTATAACAGAATACCTGAAACTGGGTAATTTATAAAGAAACAATTTGTGTTTTATTTTATTTATTTATTTATTTATTTATTTTAAAAAGATGACCGGTAAGGGGATCTCAACCCTTGGCCTGGTGTTGTCAGCACCACGCTCAGTCAGTGATCAAACCGGCCATCCCTATATAGGATCTGAACCCGCGGCCTTGGTGTTATCAGCACCACACTCTACCGAGTGAGCCACGGGCCGGCCCAAACAACTTGTGTTTTAAAAAGACTCTCATAGAAGTGTAGAGGAGGGCTGGCCGGTTAGCTCAGTTGGTTAGTGCATGGCCTTGTAACACCACTGTTAAGGGTTCAGATCCCTGCACTAGCCAGCCACCAAAAAAGAAAAAAAAAAAAATTATAGATCAGAATAATGGTTACCAGGGGCTGGGAAGAGAGGGTAATGCGGGGAGAAGTGGTGGACTAACGGGTACAAAACTATACTATCTAGCCTAAGTGAATCATTGTGCAGTATGTGCATGTATTAAAACAACACACTGTACCCCATAAAAATAAATATAAATGAAGTTGAAAGACATAAAAAAATTTTTTAAATAATTTGTTTTTTACAGTTTGGAGATTGGGAAGTCCAAGGTCAAAGGGCGCGTCTGGTGGGGCCTTTTTCCTAGAGGGGACTCTCTGCAGAGTCCTAAAAAAGCCTAGGGCATCACCTGGCAGGATGACGAGAACATCCTAATATATTCTCTTCTTCTCCTTATAAAACCACCAGTCTAATCCTATTAATTTATTAACCTATTAATTCCTGAATGAATTAATCCATTTATGAAGGCAGAGCCCTTGTGATCTGATCACCTCCCCAAATCCCCACCTCTGAATACTGCCACACTGGGGATTAAGTTTCAGTGTGAGGTTGGCGGGACTATACGATAGACATTCTGACTACAGCAGTACCTGAACCCAAAGTGCATATTTCCCCGCTGATAAATCACTTCTCTTTCACCCCAGGAAGAGGGAAAACGAGGTTGGGGGGAGCCTACTTGGAGCACAGCCTCTCGGGTTCAAGCTCGTTCCTCTCCATGATGCCAAGAGACAGGGAGCCTTAAGTCTCCTCTTGGTGATCCCCGACTCATGAACTTCCCAGTCAAGCTTGTTTTTTAACCCCAATTGCATGGAATTTACATGACTCCATAAGGGACCCTCTGGAGCCCACCCAAGAAGCCCCGCAGTCCTCAGGGAAGGACCAACACTGGACAGTCACTCCATGCAGCAGAGGGAACAAATCAGGAAGGCCAGTGACTACCACGGACAGAAGTCCAATGCTCTCCCTCTTTTCCTGGGATTCTGTGAGCCCCAAGATCATAACATGGTCTTCGAGAGGGGAAAGAGCTGCAGCCACCTGTGACAATAATGACAATAGGCAAAGCAGCCCAATGCCTGAGTGCCCATCCATTCATCAGGAGGACAGAGCTGCGCACTGTGGAGGCTGAGGACACAGAGCCCAGAGCCTGCCTCACCTGAGGACCCCTTGCTTTGTGAGAGAAGACATTTCCCTTCTGGTAAAGCCAGTTTGGTCAGGGTTTTCAATCCTCAAAGCCATAGGAATCAGGTCTACCACTTCCATTAACATCACTGCGATGCTGGGTGCCCCATCATGGTCTCACAAACACATACTCAGAGCTGGTGCTAAAGGTTGGACAAAGATGTGTGGGAGGAACACCTGAAAACGGAGAAAACACAGACTGAACATTTTCCTAGGAATTAGGAAATAACGCTCTCCCACCTCCTAAACCACTGGCTTTGCAGCCTGAGGAATCCCAGTATTCTCAGGGAGGTGGTCTACACTGTCACTTCCAAGTTTTCTCTTTCTAGCTACCTACTCTCTAGGCAATATCACTAATGCTCAAGTGGAGGACACAGACTTGGTCTTCACATTTGTAAAGTGATCAGTTTGTCACAGAAATTAAAATACTATTTTTAATGGAGAAATAATGTTAATGATCTCTTGTAAAGAGAGACAGAGAAAGAGAGAGATTGAGAATCTATGTATTGAATGGTATGCTCTGCCCCGACTAGCTTCGGAAGGGAAAACTGGGAACCATACACAGTGGTTGCTTCCAGGGAAGGATGCTGGAGCTGTGGAATAGAGTGGGGGAGACTTTTAACTACATGCCCTTTTGTAGCCTTTAAATTTTGTATCATGTGTAAAAATGACCTCATTAGAAAACAAAATTTTAGCATTTAAAAAGAGAAAGCAAGAGAGAAAAAGTATTGAAAAAAATTCTAGGTGAAAATGTGAGAATGAGTAGAAATGGGTGAGTGGTTCTCAAGCTTTTTGGTCTTAGGACCCCTTTATGCTTGTCAGAATTATTAAGGACACCAAAAAGCTTTTGTTTATGTGAATTATATCTATCAATATTGACTGAATTAAAAACTAAAGCTGAGAAATATTTAATATGTATTTATTAATGCATTAAAAATATTAATGCATTTAATTAATATTAAAAACATAAATGAATTTAAAACTCATTACATGTTAATAAAATATTTATTTAAAATAACTATATTTTTCAAAGCAAATGTTTAGTGAGAAGAGTGGCCCAGTTTTACATTGTTGCAAATTGCTTCAATGTCTGGCTTAATAGAAGACAGCTGGATTCTCATATCTGCTTCTGCCTTCAATCTGTTGAAATACTACATGTCATTACCTTCTGGAAAACTCCACCATATACCAATAAGAAAATGAAAGTGAAAAAGGAAAATGGTATCTTAGTATTGTAATGAAAGTAATTTTGACCTCTATGATCACCTGAAAGGATTCCCACCAGACCTTAAGTTAAGGATAACAGTTCTAAAGGGCTCCTGCCTGCCAGGTTTGCTTTAATTTCTTTTAATATGAAGCCACTATCACCTTAATACCTTTGCAATGATTTGTTTGTTATAGTGAGGATTAAAGGATATAGTGGAATTAGTTATATACTTCTCAATTTAGAGTGTGTTTTCCAATGTGTTTTCAAGCCTCATAAAAGCTTTGAAAGGTAAGTAATTTGCTTTCTACCTTGCAGATGAAGAAACAGGCTTTGGTGGCTTCTGCAAGGTTGTGCAACTCACAAGTGGGCTTGTCTCCCATGAGATGGTGAGGGGAAGGGGCTTTATGGGGAACACCGAGTGCCGTGTGCATCCTCTCACAGACCCCTTCTCTCTCCTAGTCTGAGATGCAGATCCAAGACCAGAGGCTCCTGCTCACGCTGAGACATCTTCACAGTGTGCTGGAGGAGCTGCGTGCTGACAGTGCCCAATGGGAAGAGGCCAGGTCCAGCGGAGGGACATCCCCCATCAGAGCCCGAGCAGGCTCTGAAGGAAGAGGCTGCCAGCCTGTCTCCTCAAGGGGGCTGGCCCAGCTCCTCCGAGGGGAAGACAGCAGACGAAGCTCCCTCCCTTAACTGGCTAGAGATGACACTGACCTCCCACCACTAGTCTAAACTTTGACTGTGATGTTTTCGGGGTAGAGCATTGGAATGGTAGCCAGGAAGCCAGGGCTCTGTGTTCACCTCTGCCCTCATGTGCTGTGTGACTCTGGATCTGTCACTCAACTTCTCTGTGTCTTTGGTTCCTTTTCTGTCACTTATAGGGGTTTTTGCATGTGTGTGTGTGTGTTTGTGTGTGTGTGAGGTACAAATAAAGTGTTGGATGTGAACACATTTTGAAAACACAGACATGTTATATGGCTTCTGGCAAACACCACAATGGTAATCCTTTCTTTGGGAATTTCTCACAAGGCAATTGTTAAGACAGAAAGAGCTCAATGTGCAAAGATAGTTACTGAGTGTTGCTATGGTAAAAAAAAATTGGAACCCTGTATAGTTACTTGGTGGCTGTTTTCTGTCCTCCCAACATGGCTTCTCATTCCCTTCATGTGATAACGACAGGTTCTGTTGCCACCCTGGCCAATTATATAATTCATGGTTGCCCTAATAACACGATTGACCCAGTGAGTGGGCATGTGACTAAACAGAGCCAACCACAGCCCTTCCCTGGGACTGCTTTCTGGATGCTCAGTTACAAAGCTCAGGCTTCCAGCGGCCATGTTCCCTGCCAGGTGAAGAAGACCTTTCTGCGGGAGGAAGGAAAGAGGCTATCTTCAAAGAGAAGTAGAAAGAGGGCCACACAAGAGAAGGACAGAGAGGAAGAGTGCTGGTCTTTTTAATTGCTGGTTTCAGACCCTAGTTTTGTGAGTCACCCCTGCATTCTTTCCAGCAACTAAAGCCAGTAAATTCTACCACCACCACCCACAGCCACACACACCAATTTGTCTTTGCTTAAGCTGATTTGAGTAGGGTTTCCCTCATTTACAGCCAAAATGGCCCTGAGGAACACAATCCAGATGTTCAAAGAAGCAAAGAAGTGAAACCATTAAGAAAATGGCATTTCATTCATTCAGGGTTTGTGATATCAATCTCCAACAGCAGACAACAAGGCTCAGGATACAGCAGGACACTCAATTGTATGGGATGCTGCAGTCATGACTTTGAAAAATTATATCTGCCTGTAAGAAAGACTTAAACTGAAAAGGTGAACATGAAAAAGTCATGGTGTTAAGATGATCCAACTATTGATAGGCCTTCTGTTTTTGAAAATCTATTTGCATGTTTTTTGAATACTGTTTTTATGGTTTTGAAAAAGTAAATCCTTGCATACAGAGGCAAAGTGGAGAAGGTCTATTATACGTACAATGGTTGTAGTCAGACTAACCTGGGATTTTTATATAATATTTTATAACATAGAAAATACCTGCTCTGTGATGCTAGGGCTGGGACCCTGCAAACCACATTTCTGTGTTGCCCATGCTCCCTGTAAGACTTTGTTAGACTTTGCCAATAAGTAGGGTGAGGTTAGACTACAAGACTAGAGGGACAAAAGGCACTTGCTCCTTCTTCTTTGTTCCCTGTAGCTTCCTGTGGGCTTCCTGTTCCTCTGAGCACCACCCAGAAATGCTTCCTCACCTCACAGCAGCAATGCCCTCCCATGGCTCCAGCCTTTTCCAAGGCCAAGGTCCCAGCCCCACAAGGCCTGTGTTAGTCTGTTTCTGTTGCTTATAACAGTACCTGAAACTGAGTAATGTGCAAAGAAAAGAGATTTATTTCTTAACAGTTTGGAGGCTGGGAAGTCCAAGGTCCAGGGAACACATCTGGTGAGGACCTTCTTGATAGTGACTCTACAGCAATGAAAAGTGTCACATAGTGAGAATGGCCTTAGAAAGAGAGCTGTCCTTCTCACTTGCTCTTCTTATAAAGCCACAAGAACCACACTCATGACAAACCATTAAATCATCCACCTATTACTCTATGAATGGATCAATCCATTCACAAGGGCACAGTCCTTGAGATCCAATCACTTCTTAAAGGCCCCTCCTTCCACCACAATATTGGGAGTTAAGTTCCAACATGAGCCTGGGGGGACATTCAAACCACAGAAGGGCCCCTCCCTGAGCTCAGAGATACCAGCTCCGGATGGCTCAGAATCTCCTCCCTGAAGTCTGACTCCCTGCCCTACCTATCTGGCCCTTTTCTGCATTCAGAGATACCAGCCCCAGCTGAGCAGAGCTCTCTTCTCAGATATCTGAAATTAAGCTCCATGGGGCTCTTCCTCTAAGTTTTTAAGTTTTAATAGTTTCAGCCTCTTTTCTTTGTTCCTTCAGCACTGGGAGTGGTAGGTGCTTTGGGCAATTGCTGCCCTAGAGTTCTTTTTATAATCTTTCAGTTGCCCAGTTAACAACTGTATATCTGGCTAACAATTCTTCATATTAAATTCTCTGTGTTAAAATATGAGTGAGGTTTCTGTCTCCTACCTGTCCATGACTGACACTTTTTTTTTTGCTATTTTTACCAAGGCCACTATAATCATTCTTGTTCATGTCTCCCGACGCACAAGTACAAGAGTTGCTCTATAACGTGTATTCAAGAGTTGAATTGGAGGTATGTAATGCTCAAGTTTACAAGAAACCTGTTTTCCCAAGTGGATCATCCATTTACACTCTAACAAGCAGTGTGCATTCCTGATGCTCCACACCTTGCCAGTACTTGGTATTACCAATCATTTTAATTTTTGACAATATAATGGGTGCAAAATGGTATTAGCTGGTGATCTCTTACCTTGCGTGATCCTGATCACAAACGTGGTTGTTAATCTGAGTTTTAATTCCAGCTCCGCCATTTACTTCTTTCTGATCTTAGGTAGTTACTCAGTGTCTCTGAGCCTCAGTTTCCTCATCTGTAAAAAAAGGGATAGTAATAGTATATACCCATAGGATTATTATGCAGATTAAATGAGATAATGCATATAAATCACTTCACATACAACTTAGCACTGGGAAGGCTAATAAATGGCAGCTTGTTATTACTGCAGTGTGATTATATACTAATTTGTGAAACTGTGACTATTACAAATAGACAAGCTTATTAGCATCATCTAGAGAGATATCTGTCTGGCCATGCAAAGTCGAAATGACACTGGTCTCCCATGCCCAATGGCACCCATCAGCACCCTCTGCCTCTCCCCTCTTCCCACAGCTGGGCCCACAGATCAAAAATCCCTGCTTCCCTGCCCCACCCCCATCTGGGAAGAAAGACCTAGAGCCTCTGAGCCTGCCCCTCTTGTGGGATTGTTGTTCTCCAAGACCTCGCATCTGGAGCCAATGTTCAGTTCCTAATCCCAGGTCAGAGTAAGCTCAGACTGAGCCTAAATGCAGGGTACAAGGAGTTGGGATGGGAATGACATCCTCGGTGAGGATCCTAGAGGGCTAGACTGGAAATCGTCCATCCAGGACAGCAGGTGATCTCCAGAGAGGCCATGTGGATCATGGTCTCAGAAAGGAAAATCCAGGATTTTCTCTGCTAAGGCACCAAAAACAGGCCTACACACCCAAGCCTGGCGTCCAGGGTGAGGATAGTAGGGAACACAGACAGCAAAGGATTAACAAAGTCAGAAACTAAAAACTTAGGAGCGTGAAGAAAACAGTTCAAGATATGAAACCTAGAGTGGGTCAGGGCAGGCAGGTGGGGGCTTATGGTGTGACTCATGAGATATTAGCAGAACCTCACCTTTACATGGAGCCAGCTTCCAGTCCACGGCCAGCATGACACCTTACGGAGCCCATGGGTTCTGGCTGTATACTATGTGTAGCAAACTGCCCCCAAACTTAAAACAAACTTTTATTATTGCAACGACCATTCAATATTACTGGAAATCATATCTCCCATGGTTCGGGGGTTTTCTGGGCCCAGCTGAGCCGCTCTTGCTTTGGGTCTCTCAAGTGGCTGCAGTCTGGCACACCTCTGGCAGGTGACACTGGTTGTTGCCTGGGCTCGTAGCTGAGGCTGACAGCGGGAGCATCTACATATGACCCCTCCAAGTGGCCTGGGCCTCCTCATAGCATTGTGACTGGGTTCCTTCAACTTGTGTCTGGGGTTTTCTTTCTGGTCTTCTTTCTGCATCTTTTCAGTTCCACTCCCACTGCTGAAGATTTTCACTCTCCTACTATTTCTTTTATGTCAAAGTCTATGGATAGGGAATATGATTGATCAGCTTGACTTTTGACACCTGGACGCATCATGGGTTGTTGGCATAAGGTAGGTTTATTTTCTCCTTCTCCTCCTATTCTCTTCCCTCCTCTTCCTCTTTTTCCTCTTCTTCCTCATCATTAATTCATAGGCAATATAATGTAGCAATTAAAGGTGAGGACTTTGGGCCGGCCCGTGGCTCACTCGGTAGAGTGCAGTGCTGGTAGCACCAAGGCCCCGGGTTCGGATCCCACATAGGGATGGCCGGTTCGCTCACTGGCTGAGCGTGGTGCTGACAACACCAAGTCAAGGGTTAAGATCCCCTTACCGGTCATCTTTTAAAAAAAAAAGAAAAAAGAAAAAAAAGGGTGAGGACTTTGACATCAGGCTGCCTAGGTTTGAATCCCGAGTCAGCTACTTATCAGTTCTGTGACACTGGACAAATAATGTGACTTTTCTGTGCTTCAGTTCACTCCTCTATAAAGTGGGGATAATAGCAGAAATTACCTCATAGGGCTATTGAGGGAATGCAATGAGCCAACATGTCCCTTCCTGGCACATAAGAAGTGCTCAGTAAATCTTAACTATTATTATCAGTAATGATAGCTACCATTTTTTTTTTTTTTTTTTAAAGATGACCGGTAAGGGGATCTTAACCCTTGACTTGGTGTTGTCAGCACCACGCTCAACCAGTGAGCTAACCGGCCATCCCTATATAGGATCCGAACCCGGGGCCTTGGTGTTATCAGCACCGCACTCTCCCGAGTGAGCCACGGGCCGGCCCTGATAGCTACCATTTTTTAAGTAGGATAGTGTAGTGGTTGCAAGTACAGCCTGGAACCTCACTGTCTGTGTTCAAATCCCTTGTGTGCTCTTGGGCAAGTCATTAAACTCTCTGTGTCTCAGTTTCCTCATCAGTAGAATGGGAATAATAGTGTTACCTATTTCTTGGGGTTGCTGTGAGGAATAAATGAATTAATACATGTGTAACGCAACAGTGCCTGTCATCTAACAAGGGCTAGGTGTCATGTGAGTGATTCATTATTATTATCAATCATCTTTCCTAATTACC